CCTGAAAACCAGCTCTTGATACTTGTGTTGTTTTCTTTAGTTTTGGTAGGTTGATGTGCTTTATTTTTATCTTCATCCCTATGTGAAAATCACTTCTTAAAACCTTAAATCTGTTTCAATAAACCTGTTTGCATTCAGTGGACTGCACAGGGATGTTTTTAGGCATTTATCTAGCATTGCCACAAGCACTACTGACACTGTGTTTTTCTAAAATTTTTGTCTCAGCTTTCCAGATATTCCAAGGCATCACTCGATATGGAGCACACTCAGAATTTTGAAAGATACGCCTGTATTTTGTTGCTACCTCTGGCATTTAGTATGAATTTTGGATCTATTTTGTTCTGTAAGATTTGCATGTAAAAACGTTGATTCCTGTTTGCTTTCCTCAATCCTACTCTTCCCATATCTCCAAGAAGAGAAATGTAGAAGATTCTGAATAACCTTGGGAAACACGGAACAAGGAGATTAAGCTGACACAAAACAAGTATTTATATTGGATAAAGCTAAATATGTTTTTAGTCCATTGAAATAAGTAGGATTGTTTGCATGAATAAAAAACCAGATATAATAGGTAGTATAGTAATAGTATAGTATTTGTAGTTACATAAAGATTACACTGTCTCAGCGCCTCTGTTTTTATCGGTTTGATGCTTTGCAAAGTGTATGTGTAAAAAACAAATATGTTTACTTTTTCTTTTCTAGGGGGAAAAAAAAAGCCCAAGAAACAAATAAAGCAGTGCTGTGACCTACTTCAATTAGATGAACCAGAAATACCATATTTTTTCGATTTCAGTGGGGCTCTGTCAAAGCATTAAGATAAAGTGCAAGACTGGATATGAACACACCTGAGCATCTAAGCATCTTTCAGACCATTCAGTAAGTCTTTCTCTGTTTTGAATAAAGTAAGAAATTCTGAAGTACCTGCTACTGCCATTGAGACAGTCACCAAACACAGTAAGTGTGAGTACTCACTGTGCTTAATGTTTAGTTATGTATTTGCAAAATTGGGCTTGGGTAATCAGTCACATTTTTTACAGATCTATATGTTTTCAATGTATATTTTAAATCACTTTTTTGTTTGCCACAGTTTGTCAATAGACGTGTTGCTAGTCTTTCTCAGCACCTTTCTGGTTTTGTTCTGTTCTTCTGCTGTGTACTCCAGCCAAGCAGCCTTTTTGCCTTTTCATTACTTGTCATTCTTTCTCCCTTCTCTGTTTCTGAATAAATTATAAGAGCAGGAATATCTGCAAGGGAACATTTGATTTAATGAAATATAAAGAGATTGAAATAAATAAATAAATGGCTGCTTTAGGTAATTTCCTTTAAAAACTGAAAAGTTCTCTCTCTTAAATTTCAGTGTCTTCTGCCAGCCTTTCACTTTGACATTTCTAAGAGAAATGCATATATATAATTTAATGCTAAAGTTTTAAATCACAAACATTTTGCAAGAAGGAAATACCCGAGTCTTACCTGCAAACCAGTAACCGACTGTTCCATGTGCTCTGCAAGGAGGGATCAAGAGACTTTTACTGTTAGTACGGCGTCTCTGGCCAGTATCAGAGCAGCACTTCATGTTATTTAGTAATTCTTTTCATTGGTCTTCTCAGATTTCCTCCAGAAAAACAAAAAGGCAGTTGCCTGTTTTCTGTGAGACCATGGATGCCTTTGCAGACCTTTTAGTAAAAGAGATATAAATGTACCCGTCACAAAGTGAATGATCTTTTTAATAATCCTTGTTATAAGCAGAAACAGCACCTGAAGTTTTCCACCTGGGCTGGCAGTGATAATGGCACAATCCAAGAGCTTCCTAGCACAAAGGATTCATCATCAGGTATTAACTCTTTTTTTGCCAAACATAAACAAAAGCAGACACCTTTTCCATATAAAGTAATAGATACATATTGATATTTGGAACTATATTTAGCTTATATGGAACATATGGTTCTAGTACTCAGACTACATAAAGACTAGGAAGATCTACACAGTACAGGAAGGCATTCTTGAAAAGGACTGAAAATGCCAAGGCTTGGATTCTGTAGTCAGATCAACCTGTCTAAAACTACACTGCACATTGGCTTTGTTCACGGGTTGTTCATCTGTTGTCCATACTGCTATTGTCCCATGCTTCTCTGCTGAATGTCTTGAAGTCCCCTCAGCTCTGAGCAGGGAGGACAGTCAATGTCCTGGGTCAAGCTGAAGTTTAGGCATTTATGTAGTTTGAACAGCTACGAGAGACAGTGGTGTCAGTCACTATGTCCCAGCCGAGGCTAGTGGCTGGCTGTGA